TGCATCGTATACCCCTGTATATACTGTTTCACGATGGGACACGCAGGAGCACATGCTGTGCTCCGGCTGATGCTTTGCCTAAGGTCACACCTTATGGATGGTACGGATGCGTTGTGCATGCTTGCATCCGTAGGAATGAATGGAGCAATGAGAGTCCATTGGCTTCAGTGGTGTCCACACCGACTGCATCAATGGTACTCATGAGCTGCACCTCCGAGAGGCCTTGCCTCAGGAGCACGGGTGTGCACCTAAGGAGGTGGTACCTTACTTCTTCACCTTCTTTGTTTCCTCGGAAGGTGAAGAAGACGAGGCTTTCTTTGGTGAAATCACCTTTGCCTTTGGAATCTCCTTCGTTTTTGATGACGAAGCCTTCTTAGGGGCTTGCGTCTTCTTTGATGAAGGTTTTTTAGGTTTAGCTTGGGTCACCGGGGTTCCCCCGCGGCGAGTTAATCGTTATTCGGCGAAGGCGTGCGAATTCGTGGAAAGGGTTGGAGGTAAGGAATTCCCCCCCCCCCCTCCCCCCCCCGCGGCGCGCGAGACGAGACGAGTCGAACGACGGGACGCGCGCGCGCACCCCCTCCGGCTCTTCATTCCCGGTTTTCTTGCAGCAGATGGCCATGGCGAGGGCGGCGACGGGCGGCGACGACTTCGGAAGTCGCGCGCGCCTGTCAATGCAATGCGTCAGCGTTCGATCGTCGAAATCAACGTCAGATTCAGTTATTCTCAACTGATTTGTGTTTGGGTGTTGACGAAATTGTTGGACTGGCGCGGATCTCGCGGTCAACGTAGGAATTTCAAACCACTCTCCGATCGAGTCAGCCGATCAAACCGACCCGCACCTCTCCCATCTGACCGGAAACGCCCCAGCGATCTTTTTCCCGCGAAATAAAGTTGAAAGCGACCCCTACCCGCGCGAAGGGGTCACTCGCTCCCCGCGTCGCGTCGACCCGACGCCGCCAAGGATGCGCCGCGCCGCCGTCGCGCTCCTCGGCCGCCGCGGCCGCGGCGGCCTCGAGCGCCTCGCGACGACGACGACGACGACGACGACGACGACGGACGGGGTCGCGTTCGACCGCGCCCTCTCCCTCTCCTCGCGACGCCCATCGCCCTCGCGTCCTCCTCCTCGGACGCCGCGACGCGCGGCTCCGCGCGGCCCCCCGCGTGCAGGGTTCGCGTCCGCCCCGCGCGGCCTCCTCCTCCGCGCGGGCGGCGGCGGCGGACCCGCGGGGTGGACCGGCGCGCCGCCGGCCGTCGCCGGCGCGTCGCGCGGCGGCGTCTGCCCGCGATGCGCGACGGGGCTCCGGCCGTTGTGGCCCAACTCGCTGCTGCCGACGGAAGTGGACGCGAAGGACGCGTCGGGGACGTCGGGCGCGCGGTTCTGGTGCGCCACGTGCGAGGTAAGTGCGGCGCGGGGGCGACGCGACGCGACGCGCTGCTACTTCCGGTCGTCGTCGTCGCTCGAGACGACGATATCCACTCGACGATTGACGACGAATGATTGACAACGAATGATTGACGACGACCGACTCCGATTCCAACCCCGCCGCAGGAAGAGCGCGACGCCCCCGCGAGCGCGCCGACGACCCGGGAGGCGTCAGAGGCTGGCAGGGGCCCGGCGGGCGCTGGTCGGGGGGTAACGTCCTCCGCACGGCAGTTTTACCCCGGCATGGAAGGCAGCTTCACCGCGCACGGGATGCTCCCGACGGCGATACCCGCGGTGCGCGCGCGATTCGATTCGATTCTATTCGATTCACACCGCCGCTCTTTCTCGTTCTCGTTCTCCCTCCACGTCATCTAAATCACGCGCTCACGAACCAATGATCGTCCTTCACGCCACGCCACGTCATCAGCGCGACGACGACGGCCCGGCGTTCGGCGTCCCGACCACGGGCGGCGGCGGCGGCGGCGGCGGCCGCTCCCCCGGCGGCCGCGACGGCCGCGGCGCCGGGTCCTCCCGCGGCGGCGTTCTGAACATGAAACGCCTCCCGACGCCGAAGGAGATGGTGAAGATGCTCGACGAGCACGTCGTCGGGCAGACGCACGCGAAGAAAGTTCTCGCGGTGGCGGTGTTCAACCACTACTCCCGCGTGCGCGCCGAGGCCGAGGCGGCGTCGTCGTCGTCGTCGGCGTCGTCTGGCGCGTCCCGCGCGCTCCGCGGCGGGAGCGAGATGGAGCGCGAGCACCAGAGGGCGTGGGACAGCGCGTTCGCCGCGAAGTTCGCCGCCGCGGAAGCGGCGGCGAGGAAGCTCGACGCGAACGATCGATCCGCGCCGTCGTCGTCGTCGTCGTCGTCGTCGTCGGATCGGAGCGCGTCCTGCCCGACGGAGGCGGCGTGGCCCGCGGACGTGTACGAACGCTCGGACCGCGGCTCGCACGCCGCCGCCGCGGCCGCGGCGTGGCGCGCGACGGACGGCGCCGAATCGCGCGCCGAATCGTCGCCGACGACGCCGCCGCCGCGCCCCGCGCCGTTCACGCTCTCCGGCGCGTCGCCGCCCGCCGCCGCGCTCGACGCCGTGACGCTCGAGAAGTCCAACGTCGTCCTCTGCGGCCCCACGGGGTGCGGGAAAACGCTCCTCGCGAAGACGCTCGCGTCGTTCGTGGACGTCCCCATCGTCATCGCGGACGCGACGACGTTGACCCAGGCTGGGTACGTCGGCGAGGACGTCGAGTCGCTCTTGTACAAGCTCTTGCAGGAGGCGAGGTTCGACGTGGAGTTGGCGGAGCGCGGCATCGTGTACATCGACGAGATCGATAAGCTCACGAGGAAGGCGGAGAACGTCGCGATCACGCGGGACGTCAGCGGCGAGGGCGTGCAGCAGGCGCTGCTGAAGATGGTGGAAGGGTGCGTCGTGAACGTGCCGGAGAAGGGGGGCAGGAAGAACCCGAGGGGGGAGTTCACGCAGGTGGACACGACGAACATTTTGTTCGTCTGCGGCGGCGCGTTTTCTGGGCTCGAAACGGTCGTGTCTGCGCGGTTAGAGAACGAGCGGACGGAGTGGGGGACGTTCCGGTTCGACGACGACGACGACGAAGACGAAGACGAAGAATCGGCCGGTAACGGTAAAAAAACGAGCGTTATTACCGCCGCCGCGAGCAAGTTCGGCACCGGCGGGCTGAAAGTCTCGTGGGTCGACGGCCTGTCAGACCTCGACGTCGACGGGTCCGTCGTCGCGCGTCCGCCGCCCTCCCCCGGCGCCCTCCTCAACGACGCGACGCACCGACGCAACGAAGCGAAGCGCGCGGACGCGGACGACGCGCTCGAACGCGTCGAGGCGTGCGACTTCATCGCCTACGGGCTCATCCCCGAGTTCGTCGGTCGGTTCCCAGTCGCCGTCCCGCTGCGGTGCGTTCTATACACTAGTCCCCATACGATCGCGTCGGCGTGGTGAACGCCGTTCCTTAAGGACTTTTCCTGGCGTGTCTCTCCGCCCACCCCTCGCTTTCAATCTCCGACCTCGACGCCTTTCAACTCCGCTTCTGACGCCTTTCAACTCCACCCCGATATCATCGCTCGTACGGAACGACCCTGAGGTCGCTGAACGAGGACGAGCTCGTGCGCGTCCTCATGACCCCGCGCCGCGCGATCGGCCGGCAGTACCAGCGGATGATGAAGATGCTCGGCGTGGAGTTGGAGTTCACGGACGGCGCGATGTGGGCGACGGCGCGCGCGGCGTTGCGGAGGAACACCGGCGCGAGAGGGTTGCGGACGCTCGTGGAACGGCTGCTCGTGGACGCGATGTACGAAGTACCGGGGCTCGCGGAGGCGCGTTCATATTTACACTGGTCCCCATACGACCGCGTCGGCGTGGTGAGCGCCGATCCTTAAGGACTTTTGCCGTCGTCTCTCTCCGCCCACCCCTCGCTTTCATTCCCCGCCATCGACGCCTTTCAACGCCAACTGACGCCTTTGAACTCCACCCCTACGTTCGCTCGTATAGAACGACCCTGAGGAGGAGGAGGAGGAGGAGGAGGAGGGCGGTGGCGACGGCGCGGGGACGCGGCGACCGCGGCTGCGGCTCGTGAAGGTTGTCGTGGACGAGGAGGGCGTCCGACGCGGGCTCAGGCTCGGCGGGAAGGCGGCGGTGGGGGGCGGCGAGAGAGGCGAGGGAGGAGGAGGTGGACGCGAAGAGGAAGAGGAAGAAGAACGCGAAGAGACGGACGACGGCTGCCGCGTCTTCACGCGGCGCGTCGGCGGCGCGAAGCTCGTGTTCCGCGAGACGACCGAGAGTTTGAAGAAGAAGAATGCGAAGAGACGGTCGGCGATCGAGGTGGCGGCGGACGAGGAGGAGCCCGAGGAAGAAGCCCGGGAAGCGACCGTGTGACCGACGACGGACCGCGACGCTCTGTTGACGGAAGTACTTTCGTACGAAAGTACTTTCGTACTTTCGTTCTTGTATGATGTCCACACCCTGAATGTGTAACGTGTACGCTAAGATGACGCATCACTCGACGAACGAAAGTACGAACACGAACACTTCGATTCGATCAATCTAGGCTAAACAACGGGTCGTCGTCGTCCTCGCCGAGGGCGGCGACCGAGGGGTGAGAGGGCGACGACGACGACGACGACGCTTTGGCTTTGGATTTTTTCGTCCTCGACGACTTCGCCGCCGCCGCCGCCGCCGCCGCCGCCGCCGTCATCACCCGCGCCGCCACCCCCGCGGCGCGGTCCTCGCCGTGCGCGCGAAGGATATCAATCGACGCGTCGCACAGCGCGATCGCGTCCGCCCACTCCCCGCACGCGGCGGCGAGCGCGGCCGTCCGCGCGCGCTCGAGCGCCGACGTCAGGGAGTCGCTCGGATACTGAGGGTCGTTCCATACGTGCGAACGTCGGGGTGGAGTTGAAAGGCGTCAGTTGGAGTTGAAAGGCATCGAGGTCGGGGATTGAACGCGAGGGGTGGGCGGAGAGATGCGCCGAGCAAAGTCCTTCAGGAACGGCGTTCACCACGCCATTTCGGTCGTATGGGGACCAGTGTAAGGAATACGCGCCTGAGACTCGAGGACGACGAGGGACTCTCGCGAGCACCGGTAAGCTTCGGGGAGGTGGTACGCGTCCACGGCCGCGGCGCAGCCGCGCGCGACGACGTCGCGCGCTTCCGCGAGGAGACGATTCATCGGATGAAGCGTCGTTTCCATCTCTCGAACGACGCGGCGCGCGCGCGCGAGCGTCTCGTGGCACCGCGCGGCGCGTTTCGCGTCGAAGTCCTCGAACCCGCTGCCGCCGCAACGCGTCCCCGCGCGGACGCCGCCCGCGCCGGTTCGCGTCCCTTCTCTCCCGCCGCGACGGTTCGCGTTCCATCTCCTTCCGCCTTCCTCCTCCTCCGCGACGATCGCGTCAAAAAATTCTCGCGCCGAGCCGATAACCTCCGGCCACGCGGACGCCGCGCGAATCGCGGCGTCGCCGACGCGCGCGCCCTCCTCCTCCGCGCCGCACGCGTCGCATCGGTACCGCCGCCGCGTCGCCTTGCGCGCCTCGGCGTCGTCCGATGGAAGCGCGTACACCACGGCGCCGTCGCACGAAGACCGGGATCCCCGCCGCGCGACACACTTCGCCGCGCGCATCTCGCGGTCGCGCCGGCGCGGTTCGGCGGACGTCGACGCGCTCGACGCGGCGGCGGCGCACGCGACGCATTCGCATTCGAAACGATGCGACGCGCGCAGCGACGCGCGTCGCTCCGCGCGCGTCGCGGACCCGAGCACGGGGCCGTACGAGACGCACAGCCACTCGCCCGCGGTCGCGTCGCGCGTCGCGCGGACGACGATCGTCCGACCGGGGTCGGGCTCGGGGTCGGGCTCGGGCTCGTCGGGGGGAAGATGTCCGCTTTCGCCGCCGCCGCGAATCGCGTCGGACGTCCGACGCCGACGCGGCGAAAACGGAAACGTCGCGTGCGCGTTCGGATCGCACGCGTGGTTAAACCGCGACGCGCCGACGAACACCGCGAGCGCGACGGGGACGTCGGGAAGGCTCAGCGCGCGCCACGCGCGCACGTGCGCGTACGCGTCGTCGTTCGCGGCGGCGCGACGGTTCGATTTCCTGAGGGCCGTTCCACTATACAAGCGAACGTCGGGGTGGAGTTGAAAGGCGTCAGGGGTGGAGTTGAAAGGCAACGCGGGCGGGGATTGAAAGCGAGGGGTGGGCGGAGAGATGCGCCGGGAAAAGTCCTTAAGGATCGGCGTTCACCACGCCGACGCGGTCGTATGGGGACCAGTGTATAGAACGCACCTGACCGTCGCGGGATCGAAGACCGCGTCGTCGTCGTCGTCGCCGTCGTCGCCCGCCGGCGCCGCCGCGCGTTTCAGCGCGAACGCGTTCGCGCGTATCGCGCACAGCGCCCCGAGGACGTCCACGACGCCCGGGACGCGCTCGCGCGGCACCTCCACGCCGACGTCCCTCAGCGCGACCGCCCTCGCGGCGAGGCACGCGGCGACGACGGTCGCCTCGACGGCGGCGAGCGTCCGCTCCTCGGCGTCGGCGTCGTCCCAGCGGAGGCACAAGTCGTCGAACCGCCGCGCGCGCGGCGGCGGCGCGTCGTCCGGCGCGTACGGCGGGCGCTCGA